GCTGGCTTCCAAATTACAGACTGCCAACTTCTAGTGGTAGCCACACATGGCAGAAAAGGCAAAAGAGTTCTCTGGGATCTCTTTTTATAAAGGCACTAATTGCACTCATAAGGGCCCCACCCTCCTGACTGACTTACCTTCCAAAGGCCCCACTTCCTAATTCCAACACATTGGGATTAATAATTCAACATTTGAATTTGAGGGCGGGGGAAGACAATCATTCAGTTGTGTTCAGAAATTTGTTGCTTCACAGTTCTGGAGGCTGGAAGTCCAAAAGGTGCTGGCAGGGGTGGTTCCTTCTAAGGGATGTGAGGAAGACTGTGTTCCATGCCGCTCTCCTAGTTTCTCGTGGTTCTTTGGCAATCTTTGCATTCTTTGGTTAGTAGACATATCATCCCTAATTCTGCCTTCATCTTCACATGGAGTTCTCCTTGTGCATGTGTCTCTGTGCCACAATTTACTCCTTTTTAAGATACCAGTCAAATTGGATTAGGGCCCATCCTAATGACCTCATTTTAACTTGACTACCTCCAAGTAAGGGCATGTTCTGAGGTATGAGTTAGAGCTTCAGCATATGGGTTCTTGGGGGAACACAACTCAACCTATAGCAATAAGCAAACTGTGAGGTTCACATTTTACTGGCTTTTCTCCTGAATGAAGGTGTGCCCCAGTCCACAGGGCACTGAGAAACAGAGATCAGGCAGAAAACAAAAGTCTTGCTGGGCTGTGAAGTCAGAGACTAGAGTGTAGGGTTGTCAAAGTGTCTAGAAATTGAGGGAGGAATATCTTAGAAAACAATGAGCCACTTGGGGGAGGCCCAAGATATGCATACAAACTTCCCTCAAAATCTTGTCTCACTTCTGAACTGTACATGCATTGAATGAGACTCTAAGAAATCCTTCAGAAAAGTCTAAGTGGAAGACTAAAATAGCCAAGAAGATATTTCAGCAGCTGCTTCAAGCTGAGGAGACAATGTTTGGGGTTCAAACCACATCAAATTTAGAGATGTTTGGTAAAACCCAGAATGCCTATGGCACCCTAGAAGGGTCATACCTTAGGACTAGGTACTACATTTGAGCTCCAGATTTAGAGGAAAATTGAAAGAAAGCCACCCTAGCAGAGCCTAAAATCAAATCTCCACAAGTTGAGGTGATCTGCAGGGATTTAGTTGCTTTATACAACAAAACATCACACTCTTCAGAATAAGAAAACAGAATCCAAAGTCTCTAGAATATAATACTGTCCAGTACATAATCAAGTGTTACTGAAAATTTTTAAAAAGTAGAGAAATGTAATGAATAACCAAGAAATAAAATAGTCAACAGAAATAGACCCACAGACAACATAGATATCATAATTAGCAGAAAGAACTTTTAACCATGAGAATGGGCTGGGGCTAAGATGAAATGAGTGAGGCACTTGCCTTGGATATAAAATTTAAGAAGGTACCAAAAAACTCAACAATCAAAATAATATAATACTGCAGTATTTTAACAAATTGATGTCAATGCAAAAGAAATCTATGATGTACAAAATATCAGAATTTTGAATAAAGGCAAAATCAATAAAAATCCCATACCACACCTTATTGAACCTGAAAAAAAGGGAAAAAATCAATAATATTGATTTTGCCTTTATTTAAAAATTTCTTCAGGAAAAAAATGACAAAATGTCAGGCAAAATTTTTCCAAACATAAATAAAACAACCATACATCCCAAACTCTGACAAACTCAAAGAGAAAAAACACATAGAAGATCTCACTGAGACATATCAAAATCAAACTGCTGAAACAACAAAGATAAAGAAAAATTCAAAAGATACCAAAGGAAAAGACACATTGCACACAGGCAAACAACAACAAGAATAATGGCTGACTTCTCATCAAAAATAATGGAGAACAGACAAAAGAATATTTTTAAAAGTGCTAAAAGGGAAAACACAACTTCAACATAGATTCTACATCCAGTGAAAATATCCTTCAAACTGAAGGTATCATAAAGACATTTTCAGATCAATGAAAACAGAAAGAATTCATTACCAACAGACCTACACCACAAGAAATGCTAAAAGAAGTTGTTCGGGCTCAAGGGAAATTAAACTTGGATCTACAAGAAGAAATGAAGAGCGCTGAAAATAGTAAATACAGTCACACATCACTTAACAACGGGGATATGCTCTGAGAAATGCATGATTAGACAATTTCATTGTTGTGTGAATATGATAGAGTATATTCACATGAACCTAGATGGCACAGCCTGCTACACACCTGTGCTGTATGATATAGCTCATTGTTTCTAGGCTGCAAACCTGTATAGCATGTTACTCTACTGAATACTACTGGCAATTGTAACATAATGGTATTTGTATATATAAACATAGAAAAGGCACAGTAAAAGTGCAGTATTATAATCTTTTGGGATCATGATTATGTATGCAGTCATTAGACTGGCTTCTAAAGAGCCTATGTCTCTTGCAGAATAAAATTATATTAATAGGGATCTCTTTTTCTGGCAATATAAAGAAACAAGGTCCTGACTTATATTCCTGTCTAAAACAAAAGAAAAAAGAAAAAACTCCACTATATATATATATATATATATATACATAGTGTGTGTATATACCATATGCTATATATACACACAGACATACACACACATATGTGTGTGTATATATATGTATACATACACACATACATATTTTGATCTCTCTATATATATGAAACCACAGTTTTCAAGACTGGACATCAAGCAACAAAGGACAGTGAAGCCTGAGAGATGAGAAATGAATTATGTGAATTCTAAGGTTTCCCCAATTTACTACCTGGAGAGAGAGTTCAGGCCATAGCACAGGGAGGGGGAAACCATGTGGAGCCCAGAGTTCTCTCTGAGTCAAGAATTTAGAGCCAGGAGGTGAGAAATACCAAGGAAGCTAGGCCAGGGCAACTTACTATAGAGTAAAGTGTGGCAGAGAGAGAAATAGAGACAGAGGAAAGAGAGAGAGATCTGAAGATTTTTAGCAGGTCACTTATGTGCCTTTAGCTGAATACTGACCAGGACATGTGGATGAGTAAACTATTGAAGCTGGAGAAAAAACAGCCCCAAAATAATAGAATGAACAACATCAAAGCTCACACAGGGCCAGGATTAGTCTTGTTCCCACTATAAACAGTAAAAGAAAAAAAATTTCTGCCCAATTCACTGAGCATTAGGTAGAGTACTCATAAGAGCTTTCTTTCATTAATGGGAAAAATTATACCTAATAGTGTGTATCCCATGGTGTATAATGCTTTTTACATGTTGCTGAATTCTATTTGCTAATTGTCTTATTCTGTTTATGTTGCTATAAAGTAATACCTGAGGCTGGGTAATTTTATAAGAAAAGAGGTTTATTTGGCTCACAGTTTTGCAGGATATACAAGAAGCATGGCACCAGCATCTGCTTCTGGTAAAGGCTTCAGGCTGCTTCCACTCATGATGGAAGGGGAAGGGGAGCCGATGTGTGCAGAGATTGCATGGCATGAGAGGAAGCAAAAGAGAGACGAGAGGTGCCAGGCTCTTTTTAACAACAAAGTCTCTTAGTAACTAATAGCGTGAGAACTGACTCACTCCTCCTGCCCCAGAGAGGACATTCATCTATTCATGAGGGATCCACCCCATGACACAAACACCTCCTATTTGGCCCCACCTTTGATACTGGGGATTAAATTTCAACATGAGATTTAGAGGTGACAAACAATCCAAAAATAGCACTAATATTTTTTCAAGAATCTTTGTATCTATATTCATGAGGGATACAGGTTTGCAGTTTTCTTCTTAGGTACTATTCTTGACAGGTTTAGTATTAGGGTAAAACTGGCTTCATAACATGACTATTGAAGCTGGAGGAAAAAAACAGCCTTCTCTTCTATGTTCTACAATAAATTGTATAGAACTGATGTTGATACTTCTTTAAATAGTTAACAGAATTGTCCAATGAAGCCATCTGAATCTGAAACTTTGGGGAAAGGGGGAGTTTTATACTTATGAATAGTTATACTTAATAGTTGTACTTAATAGTTGTAAAACTATCCAAATAATCTATTTCATATTCAATATATTGTGGTAGTTTGTGCTTTTTGAGAAAGTGGTCCATTTTTTTTAACTTGTCAAATGTATGTGTGTAATGTCGGTTGTAGTATTTCCTCACTATCCTTTTAACGTCCAAAGGTTTCGTAATGCTAGTCTCTGTTTAATTCTAGACGTTGGTAATTTCTGTCTTCTTTTTTTCTTTATCAATCTTGTTTTAAAGTTTGCCAATTTCATTGATATTTTCAAGAACCAGTCTTTGTTTCATTGATTTTTCTCTATTGTTTTTCTGTACTCAATTTCCTTAACATTTTCTCTTATCTTTAATATTTCCTTCCTTCTACTTGCTTTTGTCTTATTTTTCTCTTCTTTTGCTAGACTCCTGAAGTGAAAGTTTAGATTACTTGAGACTTTTCCTCAATTTTAACATATAAATTTTGAACTATAAATTTTCTTCTCAATGGTGCTGTAGCTATGTACCACAAATTTTGGTATATTATATCATATTTTCATTCTGTTTCATGTAATAATTACATTATACATGCATAGCTTTCAGTCTCTGGTGTTGACATAACAGTTTGAGTGATATGTAAAATTCTTACCTCCCTTTACATTTCTTTACCCTCCCTTGTTTATAATTGCCTTAAATACATGTACAACATACATTCAAAAACATATCAGAGGGTGTTATAATTTTTGCTTCAACCATCAAACATAATTTAGAAAACTCAAGAAGAAAAGGAAAACATGCTATATTTATTCGTGTTTTTTCTATTTTTATTTTATTTCTTTTTTTTGGCCACAAAGTATCTGCTGATATTCGTGTTTTTTCTTTCTGTTATTCTTTCTTCCTGATATCACAAGATTCCTTATTTCATCATTTCCTCTCTGTTTAGAGAACTTGTAACCATTCTTTTAGAATAGAACTGCTGGCAACCAGTTGCCTTAGTTTATCAACATCTGAGAATGTCATGATTTCCCCTTCATTCCTAGAGGATATTTTTACTGGATTTGGAAAACTAAGTTAGTTCTTTTCTTTGAAACATTGTGGTACCACTTCCTTCTAGCCTCCATGGTTACTGATGAGAAATCTGCTGCCATTTGACTCACCCCTTCCCAACCATAGGTAAGGCTTCATTTCTCTCTCACTACTTTCGAGAAGCTTTTCCTTTTCTTTAATTTTCAGAAGTTTGATTAGGCATTATGTGTCTTTGTGTTTATCCTGTTTGAGATTCTTTTAGCTTCTTGAATCCCTAATAATCAAAGTTTGCCAAATTTAGGAAGCTTTCAGCCATTATTTCTTCAGATACTTTTCAGTTCCATATTCTTTATTCTGATTTTCTTGGACTCCAAAGACACAAATGTTAGCCCTTTTGTTGTAATTCCACAGTCCCTGAGACTGTTTATTTTTTTTTCAGTCTATCTTATTTCTGCTGTTTATATTAGGTAATATCTATTCTTCCTTCCTCTGACATCATTCTGGAAGGAGAAAGGGAGGTGCTCTACCTCTTCACTGCTAGGTAGGGGGAGAAGGCCAGGTTCTCCACTTGGACACTAAGTAGGGAAGGCTTGTCATTACTGCTGGATACAGCTGGGAATATGTGTGCTCCACTAGGCCTCCTGAAACCCCCTGATTGGGAAGATGAGTAGAAGTACCTTCTTAATTCTCTCTAGGTGTCCACTAACACCATATTGGGAGCTGGCTTAATGACCACTGACAGTGATGAAAGTCCTCACTCTCCACCAGGCCTCCTCCTATGCCACCCCAGCAGGGGCTGGCACCTCATTACAGAGTGGAAGTCTAGGCTCCCCACTTACCCTTAGCTGGTGGGGGTACACAGTCATTGTCTGAAAGTTTTCTGTCCTGCAAAGCAGTCCGTTTCTTAGTCCTTTGCCTAGAAAGAGCAAGCTTTTGTTGGGTCTTCTTTTTCCTTGAACATATTGGCATTTTGGGTTGCCTGTTTCTTCAGCTCCAAGTCTGGAATATACAAGACAAAAAGAAAACCCAGGGGACTCACCATTCTGTCTTTTCTTGGGTCCCAAGATCCTTAGACAAGTGTTCTTTCTTTTCTCAACTTTTCAATGTCTTCTTATGTTAGTTTTTTATATAATATCCAGGGTTTTTTATTGTGTTTAGCAGGAGGAGTAGGGAAAAGTACATCTGCCCTAGCTTCCCAGAAGTGGCAGTACTGAACTGCACTTAGGTTTTTACAATTTTCTCATCCACCAAAATGCTTAAAGAGCAAAAAGCAAACTTTATTTATTTTTATTTCCTTAGCATCCAACAAAGAGCATGTGTCCAATATACACCTGCTGAATGAATGTATGAATCAATGTTGTGCCTATACACCTGTGAATAATCCTTTGCAGTGCCCAGCTCTTTCTACTCTACATTACAGCCTCCCAAATACTGACATTGTGCCTTTAATTTACTTAATAGTATGCATGCAGCTGGGACCCTGAGATTTCCTCATCCTGTGCCAAGAGATGGCTCTCTGGTTTGACCATGTGCTGTATTGAAGACCTACGAAAGGGGAAGAAGACCAGGGACAACTAAAGAACAAGGTGTAAGGAGGACACACCCTTGACACCTCACTCATGCATTTACTTCCTCACTCACTCACTAACTCATTTATTCACTCACTCATTAATTCATTTGCTCCCGGTTTAGATCTGCACTCTCCAATATGGTAGCCACTAGCCTTGCACCTGGTATAGAGGCAGTAGAAAGTTCCCAGCGATGAAAATACAAGCATGCTTTTAGAGGGATTGTGCCTGGCTGTTTTCATTTCATCTCCCCGTTTGCTTCCACCTCCAAAGCTGTTAGGTTAGAATCAGAGAAAACAAAGCAGGGGCGCTTTTGGGATTTCCCAAATTGAAACAAAATTGCATCTTATTAAAATGTGCACACACACTCACACATAGCAGACTCAAGTTACGGGTTACATGAATTCCCAGATCACTGGGTAATTTATTCAGTTCCTATTCTCGTACTGTTGAGAGGCACTGAAGTACAAACCAGCAAACATAAATAATCAACAGCTTTAGTGCCTTTATCAATCATAAACATTGTGCTAAGTCCCCTAGGAGTGGCTTGTAATTAAATTCTCTATTCATGGGTTGGGGTGCCCAGTCCCTGTTTGTGGGACTTGCGGGCCAGCCTCACCCTCTCCATGATATTATTCAAAGGGCCCGATGCCAGACTGGGCCTGCTTTTTACCCAAGAACAGACAGTTTCATACCCTCCTGTCCTTCAGAGGAATAGATATGATTAAACCAGGTCTGGACAATAGAAATATAATGTAAAACACAAGGAATTTTTAAATTTTCTAGTAGTCACATTTTTAAAAGTAAAAAGAAATCGATGAAATTAATTTTCATAATACTCTTTATTTAACCCATATCCAAAATGCTATCCTTTCAACATGTAATCAATAATTTTAAAAATTATTGACATTTTTACTTTTTTTGTACTCAGTCTTCTAAATCCAGTGTGTATTTTATATTCATGGCTCATCTCAGTTTAGACTAGCACATTTCAAGTGTTCCATAGCTACACAGGTCTAGTGGCTACCATATTGGAGAGTAAAGCTCTAAACCATGAACAAATGAATGAATGAATGAGTGAATGATTGCGTGAGTAAGTGAATGAATGTGTGAGTGAATTAATGAGTGAGTGAATAAATGAGTTAGTGAGTAAATGAATGCATGAGTGAGCAAATGAATGGATGAGTGAGTGAATCCATAAGTGAATGAATGGTGAATGAATGAATGAATGAGTGAGTGAGTGAGTGAATGAATGCATGAGTGAGTGAGTGAATAAGAGAGTAAGTGAAAGGCTCTGAGGCCCCAGCCAGCTCCTCATATCAGTCACACATGCTGGCTGGAGATGGTAGACTAGAACCAGAGACTTCACAATGGTTATCAGTGTAAAAATGTCCTGTCTTCGACTTGCACAGCAATTCCCACCTTCCTCAAGCCCTTCTGCACACAGCCTAGGTCCCCATGACAGCCCTGTGAAGGCAGTGGGAGTCTGCAGGGGTCCCAGGATCCCAGCCTGGAAGACAGCACCACTCCCATCGTGTTGCCTGTCAACGATGGGCCAGTGGAACCACCGCCATGAAAACCCTGTGCTATTGAAACGCTCCCTCTCACATCTCCTCTGCAGAAGCTGCTCACCCCCACTGCATGCATGTTAGGCACTCCCCTGTCTTTGCTCACATGGAGAGAGGCACTTGGGCATGTTTGTATTCCAAAGGCAGCCAGTCCCACAGATGTTCTATGGAGGAACCGTCTTTCTGGAGCAGGTACCAATCCACAGCCCTGTACTGCACTGTGGCTTCCCAAGGACTTCTGCAAACATCTCTAACCCCTCCCCTCCAAGGACCAAGCCAGCCTGGCCCAGCCGTGCAAGTGGAAGGCTCTGGAAGGCCAACTACCAGGTGGGCTTTCACAGCCTGGGTGGGGTCAGGCAGGAGGTTGCACCTGGTGCGTAGGCCAGCGAGTGGGGCATGCACACAGGCCTGGGGGCCCCCAAATCATGTGTTTGCACAGAATTTGAAAAGGGCCAATCAGAGGGGAAATGGAACAAGATGCAACTGGACAGAGAGGCAGGCCTGGTGAGCCACGCGGGCCTGGGAAGGAAAATCAGTCCTGGAAATTCCGTAGCGACAGAAGCAGGTTACTTACTGGTTGCCGTGGGCTGGGGGAAGGGAGTATGGGGAGTGACTGCTTAAGGGGCTTGGGATTCCTTTTGAGGTGTTGAAAATGTCTTGAAACTCGACAGTGGTAGTGGTCCCACAACACTGGGAATGCACTAAGTGCCACTGAATTGTAATGTATAATGGTTAAAATAGTAGATGTTGTGTTATGAGTATTTAACCACAATAAAAAAAAAATGAGTGCTAGAACTCCAACTCAGGGCTTCTCACTCAAGTTCAATTCTCCTTCCCCAGCAGACGTGGCCCACGCAGCCCAGCATAGATCCTTTCCCATCTTGAGAACATCTTTTCCAGCGACAGCCAAACACAGGCAAACTCTGAACGTGCCGCTGTGCCCACAGAGCAGAACATCCAACCAACAGCAGAGCCGCGTGGCCAAAGAAACTGAGAATTATCAATGGTCAGGTCTGGAAGATTTGATGTATTCTATGTCTGCCAAGGGCAGGGAGGAGATTGCATAGGAGGTGAGTGTCGAGTCAAGTGCAGCGCCCTAGAATACTGAATTCCACTCCTCGGCCCGTTAGGGAACCTTAATCTTTGAAATTTGTAAACCTTTCTTGAAGTTATTTATATGCTCAGCCTGTGCACTGTCTCTTGGGGATAAAGAGTTGCATGAATTTATACTACTCACTGGGCAAAGTGGGTTCCCTTTAGTCCTCCTAAAATTATCCCCTGTCAAGTTTTATGTGGATGGAGGAGAAGGAGGAATTTAGGTCTAAGATGTTAGGATTTCAACACACACTTCATCTTTCATGATTGGGAAGCCTTTCATCCCATCCTCAATGAGTCTTAATCTTTCCAGATTTAAGAACCCTAATTGTTCCCCTGTCCCTTTAGATCATTTTAGTTGCCCTCCCTACAGCTTTTATACATTTTTTCCCTCTTTCCCCCTCTGAAGAGGGAGTGATCAGGATGTCTTGAGATGCCAGAGAGATGGAAGAAGCAACATCTCCATCACTGAATCCACTCTAGGTTTGGCCCATCCTCATGGTAGGGCTGTTGGCTTGCAGGCACCACGTGACCCAGGGCCTACCGTCCCCTCCAGCCTCATGCCCCCACTGGACTCATCACTCACAAAGCTGCAGGTGCCCTGGCTTTGTTCAGGCTCCAAATGCGTCCACAATCTTTGAACCTCAGAGCTCCATACGTGCCCCTTACTGAACAGAAGTGAGGCTGTACCTGTGGTGGAGAAAGTGCACACCGCGTATTTGCAGAGTGATGACTAAAAGCCTGACCACGTTCTGGGCACTGGGAATTCAGAGATGAACACAGTCTCCATACTCAAAGAACTCCCAATCTAGTGGGAGGGGTGGGAAAGTAAAGCAATGGGCCCAGTGACAAGCGGCACTGCAGTCTGACACTATGCTGGAAGTGTAGCGCAGAGAGGGTCATGTGACCCAAGTGAGGGGCATCAGGAAAGGCTTCCTGGAGGAGGTGATATCTGACATGAGCTTTGAAGGGTGAGTAGTGGCTTTCCGGTGGTGGATGGGGGAACACTTCCAGGCAGAACAAACCGTGTGGGCAGAAGCTCTGAGGAATGAGAGTGATCTGGGAGCCGAGGGGAAGTGGCAGCGGATGAGTGGGGTGGAGGTGAGGCAGGGAGTGAGAGAACTCAGGCAGCCGAGTCATTTCAGAGCATCCGGTGAGCCCAGCACCAAGACAAGCACCAGTGGGAACACGGGCCACCCTGCCTCTAAGAGCCCAGAGCCTACAAATGCAGCTGCTGCTACTAACACCGTACTCTAGACAGCTTCGGTCCTCTCCTTCCTGTGGAGCAAACACGCCTTTGTCACCCAGGTCCTGAAGACAGTCAACACCAAATATTCATCTAATATATAATATTCACTTATATATTAGACTGCAGTGTGCCAGGCGTGAAGCTAAGCACCAGAGAAGATAAAAAGAAAGATTTCTCAGGGCAGCTTACATATTGCAACACATGCTCATACATACACACACACTCTCACACTCACACACATGTTCACACACATGCACACACATGCACACACATGCATACACTCACATGCACACACATGCACACATTCACACACATGCTCTCTCACCACACAGGATAGCAAGCCGCTCATTCCCAGCTTCCGGAGAGATGGGCTGCCCCTGCTACTAGGATCCAAAAGCTGTGACCCCTCACAAGTCTCCCAGTCACTCCATTACCTCTCGAAGGGTGCCCCAAATCCATTAGCCAGGACAGAAATTTCCATTTCAACATGAGAAGAAAGGTTTAAACCAGAACTTCACTTGGAGGAAGAAACATCTCACCCAAACATCTCTCAACCGTGGTAGGAATGAGCAAATGGAAACTCTACTGTTAAGTACGGGTCCAACTCTCGAATCCGGCTGTGACCTCCCGGATAGCAATCCCTCTTTGCCCAAAACTCCATTTTTAGACATCCTCACCCACGTGTCTTGGGCCATCAGGACTGTGGTTAGGTGCCCTCCCGCCCCGCCTTTCTCACTCGTGTTCGTTGTAACTGTGCCTCAGCCGACTAAATGAGTGTCCCTGCACAAGTCACCCAATGCAAATTTCATCTCCTATAAATGACAGGTTAACAAGATTGAATGGAAATAATGCTTGTGAACATTCTTTGCAATTATAAAGTGTATAAATGTTTGCCATTATTATTGTTAGTATCATGATAATCTTTTGAGTTTCAAGGCCTGGCCTTCCTCCACCTCCTGCCTCCCTCCACCTGTCCCCACCCTCCTCCTGGCCTGGCCACCAGCACCGTGTTGGTCCAAGCCAGAAGTCAGAGGCCGAACACCTCAGCAAAGAATGGCTCACAGTAATTCAAAGGCTGTTTTTCCTCCACACTTTGTAGCAGTTTAGAAAGGCAAGTCGCAGCCATAAATTGTGTACAGAAAGGACAGCGTGTCACCAAAGGGGCCATTACCTCCTTAGAAGTCAAGCAACATAGATTAGAATGAAAATTATTTGGGATCTTCATCAGTCGGCTGAAATTGTTCAAGGCTCAGCAATTCACTGAGGTTTGCCACTGGGTCATTGATTTTAGGAGTGAGTGCGCGTGTGTGTGTGTGCGCGTGCGCACACGTGCTCCATCCCTTGTTGAGGATCAAAACAGAAAAGAACAACAGGGACCACTTTGAGTTCTGTGGGCCTGAGATGCTCCAAAGATCTGGGGCTGGTGGTCCTCAGCCTGATCCCGTCTAGCAAAGTCCTCGTGGGGACACAAGGACATCTCCACAGGGCAGAAGTCCGTGGAAGGCCCAGTATGAGACTGCTCTTTAGAACACAGAGAAGCAGGCAAGGACGAGCCAAGGACATCTTTAGAGGTGAGACCTCAAACCCACATGTCATGGAGCTCAGTGTGGTCACCCCAGGTCCCGACCACACCTGGAAGCCCGAGAGCATATTTGGCGATAGCTGACCCGGATCCAATAGCCCAGTCCCCTGCAGGACCCCCGGGTCAGGACAGTGCTGTACAAGGAAGAACAAGGACAAAAGCCAACCTTGGTCAAGTGCATACTGCACGCCAGGCACTGTGGTGAGCTCCACGTGTGTCATTTCACTTGATCATGTAAAACTGGACTAGGTTCTACCATTACCCCCAGTTAATAGATGGGCAGACCAGGGTTCCCAACCAGTCAGTGACTTACTCAAGGTCATAGAACCCGTCATGGGGAGGCCAGGTTTCATAACCAAGTCTTTCTCTAACCCACACACTTAACTGAGTCCTGCACTCAGCCCACCACGCAGGCCTGGGCCGGAGAAGGCGCCGGACCTAGCAGGATGGCGATCACGGACTCGAGTGCTGGGGCTGGACCGCCTGGCTCAACGCCCGGCTCTGCTACTCATTACTCGCGTACTTGAACCTCGCCGCGGCTCTGTTTTCCTGTTTACACAATGGGTATAATCCACTTCCCGGAGCTTTGCATGAATCAATATGCAAAGTCCTGATTAGAGTGCCTGGCGCGTGGAAGTGCTCAGTAAGTGAGTATTTGAAACTGAATGAGTTTAAGAGGCTGAGAAGTCGAAGACAAGCAACGAGCCAACCCCAAAATTAGCAGTCACAGCAGTCACTAACATCCTCACCTGGTGGCAGGAAGGAGGAGGCTGGATTGAAGGACCAGGGAGGGACCTGGGGTACCGGGCAGACCTACCAGTGCCGGAAACACGGCCCAAGGCAGAGAGGGAGGAATGTCCTGGCTTCTTCCTCCCAGATGCCAGCCCCTGCGGTGTCTCCCCCTGCTCAGACCAGCTGGAAACATGCTGACCCAGAGGCTGGAGAACACAGGCCTTGCTGGACAGATCAGAGCAGAGCCCGGGCCCTGGAGCAGGCAGGAGGGCCGCAGCGGGGATGGGCGTGCTTCTCCACTGTTCTTCGGACAAAATGCAAACTCCTTAGCATGGCTTGCAATGCCCAGGCTGCTGGCCCTGCCACCCAACCTCTCCACTCTGGGGCCTGGTATACAGTGGGTGCTATTTGTTCCATGGGTGCGTGAGGATGGTGACCGGCCTTCCCAGAAGGCCAGACAAACGCTCTTGAGACCCAGCCACTGGGCCACCCTCCCAGAGGTACCAGGGCCCTGGGAGCCCCGCTATCCCTTCCCAATGCCCCAGGAGCACAGCTCTCCCTCCGGGCACACAACAAATGTCCCCAGCCTCACGGGATTCGAGCACAAGGCCAAGGGCACGATCATTTCCCTGGGCATGACCTTCTGCCTTGGCAGGTTCCACTCCCTCCCTCCCTCATGCACCCACCACGTCCCACACCCCCAAGACCCAGAGAAAACCCCTCCAGTCTGTCACTCCGGAGCACCCCCAAGACCTTCCCTGCTTTTGTACCTATTAATACCCTTATACAGAACACTCCAAGGTCACCTCGTGATCAGGATAATTTAGCTTTCAGAGCTCCTGGGGTCCTTTGAAAGCTTTGGGGGCTCCTGAGGGTGCAGCTTAGGGCCCTCAGAGGCTCCTAGGATCTCTTTTCCCATGAAAACAGGAGGAGAGGGCAAGAGGAGAGATGGGGGCGAGGGCAGTCCCCTGTGGGGTGGCGAGAACGTGCAGGCCCAGGGAAAGTTGGGCGCGTAAGTAGGCCATGGGGTCTGGCCTGAGAGTGTGTGATTAGTAGAGCTAATCATTTCACCAGCTCAAAATAGGCTCGCTCCTCTGAGACCATCCTCCCAGGGTCAGCCGCAGCCGCGGTTAAGCCAGGTTGCGCTGCGGTGGGGCGGGCAGAAAACAGCCCGGGGGAGGGCTGAGGGCCTAACTCAGACCCCAGGATCTGAGGCCCCTAGAGGCCCCTCTACCAGCACAGGGGTGCGCTCAGGGGCCACTGAGCCTCGCACTCGCTGGAGGGGGACCCCACGACAGGGTTTGCTGAGCCCCCTCCCAGGCAGCAGAGCTCAGCAGCCGGGGAGGTAATTGGCAGAGCTCGGGGCCAGCCCCGGGGGGATCGTGATCCGGAGACTATCCTGTCTTCCGGCTGTCACCCTCACTTACGCTCAGGGTGCTGCAGCCCCCAGCGTGTTCCCCGGGAGCTGTCTCTCATCTGCTCCCGGAACAGCATCCGAAGTGATTAAAACCACACAGCCCCTCTGTTCACATTCCTGTCATCTCCCCGCCAGCCTCCTACCTGGCCACCAGACCAGACAGCCACTTTCCTTCTCCTATAAGGACTCGTGTTCAACATGGCTGTTGGGAAACAGGGGCCCACGGGGGCAGAGACCCGGAACGACAGCAGCAGCTAATTGCCTCGGTAGCAGCAGCACCGAGGCGGGCTCGTGTCTGCCTCAGAAGCCGGCGCGGGTTCTCTATTGAAGGTCGCTACGAGGAGGAGACAGCTTCAATGCCTTCAGCCCACAAGGCCACATGGAAGGTGACAAGTCAGCGGGCCTGAGCATGGACAGGTTCAGATGCAGCAGCTGGCCTCTGTGGGGCCTCGGGGCACACTCTGCTGAGTGCCACCTTCACCCGGGGACACTGCTAATTGGCAGCTGCGAGAATGGAGTCGACTCACCATTCTCTAACATGTGTTCCTTTAACCCACAGACCCCAGACCCCCTGCCGCTCAGCCCCTTCCTGCCCAACTTGAGGGTGCATGACCAGTCCCTCCTCCTCCACGGAGCCCGCCCGACTGCGCTACACAGCCCAGGGCGCTCATCAGCAGGGAGGTCAGCTGTGCCTGGCGACACGGTGTGGGGTCTGGTTTTCTGCTGGAGAAGTGGCAGATGGTGTCAGGCCAGTTTAGGGCAAGGACTGAGTCGAGCATCCCAACTGCCTCTGCCCTAAAGAGTCCTTCTCTGCGTGTGTGAGTTGGTGCTCCAGCGTGCAGGCGGGGAATGCGGTGTGGGGAAGCACCACGGGCCAGTGGTCCCCCAGGGCCATCCACAGGCAGGTTACAAATTCCAACCGGGCCAATAAGGGCAGAGCCTGTGTGAGTCCCAGGCACTGCAGGGAGCTGCTGCAAGATGCCCTTTGGACTGGGCCACCCAAAAGCCTGGCCCAGAGGAGGGCCCAGGGCCATCTGGGTCTGTGGCCCCCGGAGAGGGCACACTCTGAACACTTAAAGAATATGGAGAGGGGACACTAAGGTGGACCAGAAACTGATGGGGCAAAAGACCCCAAAGCCAGGCAGAGTAGATCCCAGCTGTGGATAAGAGCCAACGCCCTCTGTCCCCTTCTCCCCACCCCACCCCGGGCTGGGGCAACACTGCCAGCCTCAGAGCCTGGCTGGCATCTGCCTGGGGCTAGAGGAAGCTGCTCCCTGCTTCCACCCAGATACAAGAATGTTCTGGTAGCCCTTCAGGTGGCCAGCAGGCAGTGTGTGCCTGGGGGGTGCCCACAGAGACTCCCCCGCTCTATCTAGTGAAGCCGCCATCGCCTGTGGTCTTCATGCAGCAATGCGAAGATCATCACGCCCCGAGATCACTAAAAGGGAGGCTGGCCGGCCCTGGTCACTTCCTGTGACCAACTGCTTCAGCCGGAGAACAGCGATGCCACTGTCAGCTGACCATCGCACAGCCGTGGTGCACAGGCACGTGCACACACACACACAGTGTGTAACACAGGCCCACAGCCACAACCTCCACTTGCTGACCCGTCCTAATTTCTAGATATTTCATCCTGATCATTTTAGGGATTTTGGTTTCCATATAAACCTTACCCCCAATATAGGAGTCCCCTTGCAGAATGCGACATCCCTTCCACCATGGCCTCAGTGTGGGGATGAGTAAATTGTATCAGGAAATTTGTCCAAAACCACAACGGCCCTTAAGTAACCACGCAAAGATGAACGGCCAGAGCCGCTCGCCTCTGGCGTGGCCCGCCACTCAGCACTGCGTCAGACCCGTACACAGACACAGAGTCGCGCTCCAAGGAGCAGCCAGGGGTGAAGCCAAGTCCGTGTGGAAGGTGAGGAACGTGTCCGCAGAGCAGGTGCCGTTGGGCCTTGGCTGTGGAGGGTGAGCAGGACGCCCCCGGCGATCCGTGAGGTAGGAGCTTTCTTCATTTCCACGTCACAGACGAGGAAGGACGCCTTCGGGGGTGTGAGCCAAGTCGTGCTGCGGGAGGGG